ATGGAATAGACCTTTTTCACAGCAGCCATTTTGAAATGAAATAGTAGAGTAAATAGGTGTTACCAATGATATTAATAAAGGTTCTGTTGCGTTCAGGTCAAACAGAGTCAGAGTGCTGCTATTGAGCTTTTTTAAAAGTTTTTAAACTGTAATGCGTGAGGTGGGTCTATGCGTTACTGTGTTCACAGCAAATGTGTTTTGGCAGTTTCTCAGTTTGCCCAGACTTATATCAATATCTTTACAGTTATACTGCTGGAGGAAAAGTTTTCTGGTTGTTACTTAAATGTCCTGGGGACAAAACAGTTCAAAATGGGCATGTTTGGTGCCGTGGTGGCATTCTACCACTCTTCACAGCGACCTTCATTTCAATACAAAAGATAAACAAATTGAGCTTCCTGCAGGTAATGAACATGTATCTCTAGTCAACTCATAAACACAGTCAACCTCTCTTTGCATTGGCTGGTTTTGAACACGGCAGTTCACTTTTTCAACTCGCGCTTCTACCTCTGATAGCATTCTTTAAGTGACTCTAAGGTTTAGAAAAGTCTAAAAAAACATACATTCAAGATGCTCAAACTTATTTGGATCCTGGAAGAAGTCAGCATCATCAGCTATCAGTCCTCTCCAGGACTTCCTAACCTCTAATGCTGACCATCTGTCTTGTGCGTTTGTGGGTTCATGACTTGTCCATTTCCTACAAGATAACAGGCAGTCGGGGTTCCTGGCCTGTCCGGACAACCAGCAGCCCGGGGAGACGCTGCCTGCTTGGCACACTCGTCTGGTGTCTGCACTGGCAGCCGTGCATGGAAGAGAATGGAGAACAATAGATGGGAAAAAATCTTTATCAACATCCCAGGGTGTGGCGGCAGGACGGCCTTGAGCCACCCTCTCCCACTCAGCTGCACGGAGGCTTTTCATCCAGCCGGACGGTGGAGAACGAGACAGAAATATAATTCAGATCCAAAGTAAAAAAAGGGCTTCCCATACAATGAAACAGAGTTGTTTGAAGGCACAGACAGAACAAAAACAGACAAAAACACCTCCTTTCATTCTTTGGCATCTACAGTTATAAAAACTGAAGTTGTGCCAAACCAATACAGTCTCTCGCTTCAACAACTTAAAACGAGTCCTGTGAGAAGTGAGTACATTCTGTTCACTTACATTGTCCATTCATAACTGTTAGCCATTACTGCAGTCATGACAACCTTTGTCGAGTCCAAGACCAGGACTAGTCGAGACCGAGTTAAGTCGGAATTTAGAGAGGCTGGGGTCCTAGTCAAGACCGAGTCAAAATGAGAGAGACAGAATCAAAACAGAAAAAAAGAATGCTTACGCCATTGCCAATAAGACTAGTTTTGGCAGCAGGCATACAATTTCAAGTGACATTGATTGGTGGCCAATGTCAATGCCCGTTCTAGATGGATTTGCAATTAAATCAATACCTATTGTCTGAACAAGCTTGCTTCATCAATGGTTTTGTTTTGTATAAGGAAGTTTCGACAGAAAAAAAAAATGACTCGGTCGAGACCAACTAGAATATTTATAACCAAGTCTGAGACAATAGAAAATACATTTTGAGTCTGAAACCGGACTCAAGTAACATAGCACTGGTACTTTTTGTCATGTGTTCAGTCTTGTAATGAAATAATGAGTTGCAATGGATTGTTCAGTTAACTCAGATTAAGTAGTTTAGAATATGGAAGTGAATCTTCATCACTGAGGCTGATGCGATAACCACCTCAATGCATTGCCACCAATCTGATACAAAGATCAAGGTATCAAAGATAGCTATGAATTACCAATGCAATACAATAAAGTTCACCCCTATTGCTATTCGACACGATTGAATTCAACACAATGTGATTCAAAAAACCTCTAGAAGGCTTTCTCTCCTAATTTGAAGAAAGTCTTGTCGCAGATGGGTCACATGGTGTTTTTTTTATACTGTATAATGCAAACCATGATACAGTTAAGATACTGTAGGCATCTGGCACCCTGTTTGTCATGTTAAGCACTTGCCATACAGGGTGCAAATGAAGTAGCTGATTGTTTCTGCTATTAATATAACTCCAGCTGCATAACCTCTTTCTTCTTTTCTTTTCTTTTCTTTTCTTCTCTTTTTGTTGGAATGTGCTTGAGATAGACATTTTTCTGTTAACTGCAAGTAGGAACAGGCTTGTGCATTCAAGGACCTTCTAATATCTGATACTATATACTGTATAAAAGATAAGACCAATCTCACAATATCTTTCCTTGAAGTCTGTCTGCTTTTTTTAAATTA